TCCTCCACATAGGACCCCTACCTAGCGGTGACTATAAAGAGATCACAAGGAAGTCTTGGTTTAAAAAGAAACAGAAACATACACAGGGGGGTTGGTGAATGGTGCCGACCGCGGCCATCGCAGTTGGAGGCTATTTTTTGGGGGGGTGAGTAGCGTCCATGGAGTTACTTTGCGCTCACTCCTAGCCGCACGGGCTTGGGTCCGACCGGTTAACCGTCCCCGGCAGGGGTGCGGGGCTGGGAAAACCGTGGGCCCAGCCGCCTCCCTCGCCGCGACCCCGGATGGATGCGCGCCCCCCGCCCGCCCGCGTCGGCCCCAGGAGCTCCGGGTTTCGGGAGCATCCTTCCCGCGCCCGCCCCCACCACGGCGCGTAGCCGAGGGCAGCGCCCCTCGAAAGGGCACAGCGGAGCAAGGTAAGATCCAGCCTCCGGCCATGGGCCCTGTGCATCTCCTCGGCGCTATTTTGTGTTTTTGCAACAGATCTGCCAGCGCTCCTCGCTTCCTCGCTCTCTCTCCCTCTCTCGCTCGCTCGCTCCCTCTCTCTCCTGCTGGCTGCCTGTTCTAGGAAGCCAGCGCGCGGGGGGTGGGGGGGGAGATGCACAGCACAGGGGAGAGAGATTGCGCATGTTGGTCAGTCGTGTTTTAAAGAGTACATTGCGGGGAGGCTGAGAGGGGCGCATGCAACAACAACTTTTGGAAGGGTGAGCTTGGCGACCTTTTTTATTAATGACTGCGGCAAAGCGCCCCTGGGCCGGCAAGGGGGCGCGGGCGGGCGGGCGGGGGCGCGCCGTGGCTGCAACTTGCCCCGCGGGCTCTGGCTGGGCGGAGGGGCTGCGGCGGGAGACCTGTGCCGAGGGGAGGTCGCGCGGCTGGGGGCGGGGGCTTGGAGGACCGGAGCTATCTGCCCTCCTGTCGCCCTGAGTTTCATTTTGTTGATACGCAGCACGTCCGGGCGCCGAACCGGGCTGAGCCGGTGCACATGACCCCGCGCTGGGCTCACGTGCAGCCGGTCCGGTCCCAGACACCTTCCGGGGGCCACCGCCTCCGCCCTGTCGCCCCCTCTTCGGGCTGGCTGCACGCGGGCGCTGCACGCGGGGGCAGCATGCTCAGCACCCGGGAGCGGAGGCTCTGCACAATTTAAACAGTTTTTTGGAGGGGCGGGGGACACCCTTTCCAGGTGAGTATGGAGGGTGAGCAGTTCCGGCGCGGGGGTCGAGCGGGTTGGGGTCGGAGACAGCCCCCCCTCTGGGGGCTGCGCGGGAGTCCGGCGGGGGAAAAAAGCTGGGAGAGTGGAAATGTACCGGCGGCGGCCGGAGCGGCGGGTGCGCGCCCGCGGGGCGACGGCAGGGGGCGTGGCCCTTGTTTACCTTCTCCCAACTCTGTCGGTTCGCGTCCCGCTCCAGGGACGGTTCCGCAGTCCCCAGCCCTCCGCCTCCGCCCCTGCGCTCTGGGTGGTAGCGGGAATACGTGTGCTAGTGGCGGGCCTCGCCTGGAACGTACACACCTGACCCCCAAATGAGTGACATTGCAGCCCCCGCCCCCACCAAACATCGCTGCAGTCCCTTTGCCGGATCCCCAGCCCCGCCCCGCCCCCGGCAGCGGCATCTTCCCGGCCTCACCTCCTCCCTCCCTCTCTCTTTCCCTCCTCCCCACCCACTCGCCTGCGCCTGCGGAGCGGCTCCTGCCCGCCTCCTCCCCGCTGGGTGCAGACTTGTGGCTCCCTCCGGTCCCTTCCCGCCTATCACCGGGCCTTGAGACACTTCTCCAGGCCAAAGGATGAGAGCGGTCAGCTTGGTGATTCGTAGCTGTTACATCGGGAGATGGGGATGCCTGCTAGACAGGCAGGAAGGGTTCAGTCTACCTCCCAGAAGCCCAGGACACCCCCCCCTCCCCACCACCACACACCTCCTTGTTCCCCACTACGCGCAACTGCCCACCCTCCAACGGACTTGGCTGCCCACACCCACCTCACCTAAACCCCTCCCCCGTCCCGGGCGACCAGTCCCCCTCCCGGCGCCGCCTCCGGCCCGGCCCGCCTCTTGCCCTTCCTTCGCCTGGGCCAGAGCCCCCCGCAGCCACCTCCGGCTCCTCCTCCCGGCTCCCGCGGTTGGAATCACGCCGGCGCGCCTCCTTCCTGCGGTCCCGCGGACTGCCTCCAGGGGCAGGCTGGAGGCGCGCGCGCGCCACCCTCAGCCCAATTCCCTTGGCTACTGCTGCGGGCCCGGCACTTTTTTTTTTTTTAACCGCCTTGCTCAGGGGTCTTGTGCCCGGTTGTGGGGGTGGGCTGGAAGTGCCGCCTCTCGCTTTGCGGGTGCCAAGGTTACGCTGCAGACGGTGATCCAGGTCTCTGCATATTTTCAAACCTTGCCCCCGAGCTTACAACCCTCCTCCCCCTTGTCTACTGCGAGATACTGAGACAAAGTTACATCGGGGCTGAATTTAAAGGGGTTATCAGAAGGCATCACATTTGCTCTCAGACCGGAGCCAAAGGGGATAGGGCGAGGCTGAGCTGGCACAACTGACCTGCTGCTTTGCTCTTATTGGAAGAGGGAGGAACCCCCAGCTTTGAGTCCAGACAAATTGTCAGGACTTCCCCTTCAAGTTTTTGTTTGCAAACTGAGTCCTGGCCCTGGTGGTGGTAGGACAGCCTGGCCCCTCCTCCCAGGGTGGCATTAACGCCCTCCCTTCACTGGTAAAATTCCCAGTAGGACATTTGGCAAAAAGGCAGGGCAGGGAGCTGCCAACCCTGCCTGGCCCTGTTTCCTGGGTTCCCAGGGTGCTGGCTTCTCCCCTACCCTAACTTCCTCTCTCACCTCAGGGCCCCAAGTTGAACACACCATCCCTCCTGTCCCAGCTTCCTCAGGCTGGTTGGGACTTGCAGTGCGATCTAACAAGCAGAGGAGGAAAATAACAACAGAATAACTGTAAGGGGAAGGAATGAGTAATAAAGCAGACAGGGGCAGGGAGGAGGGCTTTCATGTTTAAGAGATGCTATTTGCTTTTTAGGTCACAGGCTGCAAAAACAGGCTTTGATCCGAAGTGGGCGAATAATTTATTGAGAAAGTTTGCATGGTAGGGGAAAAAAGGGATGTTTGTTTGATCTGGAGCCCTCTCAGTTGTCCCAAGTGCTGTTGGCTGTTGTTTAGAGTGGAAAAGCATTTGGTTCCACAGCAAATGCCTCACAGAGGGAAGTCCTCGCCTCAGGCAGCAGGACTTGCTGTAAATGTTGGTTTGAAACTGTTTGGCCAGGGGTCTCCCCAGCACTTTTAGAGATGGAGTGTTTAAGGATAGAGTTATTTGGGCTTAGGATGCAGCACATGTTTCCAGATCATTTCCCATCCAACATGCTTTTCCTTTTCCTAAATTGCCTGACTACATGGCTAGTAACATTGATCCAAAAGGCTGTCAGAAAGCCCCTCTTAGCTTCCATTGGTAGGTGAGGTGGGAGTGCTGGTTCCCATCTCCCAGTGTACTCCAGCTTTGAAGTTAAACCTTGGACACTGACTTAGCACCCTCGGTTTGGGCAGGGGGAGCACGAGGGATCTGGTTAAGTGGTGTTCCAGTTAACAGCAAGTGCTTCTTAAGGATCTAGACCCAGGTGACAGACTTCCAGACAAAATTCTTCATAATGCCTCTAGCTGACTCTTAGGGAGGGGCCTTTTCCTCTTGTAGGCTCTCTGAGGAGATACCAGTTTAGATTTCTTAGGAAGAGGATCTCTGCCCACCCCCACCCCCCAACACTGGCCCTTTCCTCCACATAGGACCCCTACCTAGCGGTGACTAAAAGCTTAGGAACCCAGGTGGGTCTTCAGCCCATACAAATCTGGAGCACTCCACCCACACCTTGGAATTGAAAGCCTGTGCTGTCGCCCACTGGGGACGGGTGTACTGTTAGAAGTCATACAGTCTAGGTGGATGGGGACTGTGCAGTTACTAGCTGTGACAATCTCTCTGTGCCTCAGTTTCTTCATCTACAGATGGGGCTAACAGTTCCAACTTCATGGTGGGTATACGGATTAGTGATCTATTGCAGAAAGAACACTGAGCCCAAAGCTAGACATGGGTAAACCCTTGAGTAGCTTTAGTGTTCTCTTACTGTCAGTCACTTGGAGCGGGTCCAAATGCTGCTTTGACCTTTCATCTCTCCCCCTTTAGGCTAGGCCAAAGAGCCAGCTCCCTTCTCTGAAGAAGGGATCAGAAGGACCCGGCAGCTGCCGATGGGCAGCCATCTGTGGGAACAAGCGGACTGAGCTTTGCCCTCTCTGAGGTGGAGAATAGGGTGAGAAGGTGCTGAAGGACAAAGTAGACAAAGCCCCTTTCAGACTCCCAGGATCCCCTTGGTATGTCCCCAGATCTGGGTCTGGCGGGTGGGTGTGGGAAGCATGTTCTAGGGGAGCTGGGCACCCCCTGGGACACTTGGAATTGCAAGTGGGTGGTGGCGGGTGTTGAGCGCTCGGGCTCCCCTATGCTTGGAGAAGCAAGTTGGAGGATCTGTGTGTACAAAATCATTTCTGTAACGGCAATTACTGTCCCTGAGAAGGCATTAAAGTTAATGAGAGATAGGAAAGAGTAGGGCTCTGACCCCCGTTTAAAGCAGTTTAAGAGTGTGCAGCTCTTGTTTTCTGAATGTCTGGCCTTGCCGACACAAGGAGGCTCTGAGGACAGGTTTTCCAGCCGAAATATCATTAAATTGTATTAGCATCTTATTACACACACGCCTTAGTGGTCTGCCTCAGACAGGGAGAGTTTTTGTTTCTCTTTGAAAGATTGTGTCTGGAATTGTAAATTGCCTGCTTGAAAGCCTTTTTCCCCCCTTTTTAAGGAGGAAGACGAAATCCTGCTGTGTGTGGTGGCGGGCAGGACAGGCCTGGTGGCCCCCAGAGAGAAGAGGCCAGAGGCCAGGTTGGGGTGTTTTAACTGCCCATGGAAGCGCTGCAGTCGCAGGCCTGAAAGGCCCACTGTTCCTGGGGTCAGCTGGAAGGGCGTTAATGGAGGCCCGGGGTGTTTATTTGAGTTTATTTGCGGAGAGGTCTTTAAAGGGGGCTGGCTTTGGGCATTGGTGTTTCAAGTCCAGGCCTGAGGCCCCCACTAAAACCAATGGCTAGTGCTGCCAAGAAAACATCTGCCACCAAATTGCTGCCCTATTACTGAGTTGACATTGATCATTAGCCAGGAGCCCGACCAAATAAAGTCTCCTGGAAAAATGTGTGAGGTTAAGATGGGGAAGGCAGGCTGTGAAAACAGGGTAAAATCTTGTGCTGGGGTGTTTGTTCCTGCAAGCTGCAGGCAGGCAGGCAGGCCAGCTGGGCTGTGTGGTCCCCACACTTCAGGAGGTGCAGAGTGGAGAGGACAAGAGCACACTCAGCACCTGGCATATGTTGAGCCCCCAATTCTGTGCAGGGTGTGCACTATGAGGGGGCACTGGGTCTCCAGTGGGGATCCAGATAGACGTACACCTTTCTGTCACGGAGCATATATTCCCTGAGGAAAAGGGCATTCAACAAGTACATCAGCAGACCCAAACTGGAATACATGCTCTGGAACTATAGCTTATCTGTACATAAGCTGCCCAGTCTAGCCTCTGTGGCATTTAAGCCCAAGCCCGGAGGATGGGAAGTCAGAAACGCATAGGTTGCATAGAACACTACACAGAGCACGGGCTGTGCCGGGGTTCTGAAGCATGGAATATTTGGCTTGTTTGAGGAAGTGAAAGGAGACTGGTATGACTGGGAAGTGGTGGGGCAGAGCATGGTGGTGGAAATGAACTCGTTGAGGTGGCAGGGGCCAGATCATGTTGAGTCTTGTGGTCAGAAGCCTGAGTTTTGTCCTTTGATCTGCAGGAAGCCTTTGAAAGATTTAACGAAGGGGCATGATGTGATCTGATGTGTACTTTTTTAGTAACATTCTGGCTGCTGTGGGGTTCGGGATTTGGAGGGAGCAATAGTGGAAGTTGATTTATGAATGAGGGGTCCAGGCAAGAGACAAATGTGATTTGGACTAGTGTGGTAGCAGCAGAGATGGGGATAAGTGGGAGGATTCACGGTGTGTTCTGAGGAGAGAGCCCAAAGGGCTGGCCCAGGCTGCTGCTCTACTGAAGAGCCCCAAGGACACCCACACCCCTGCAGGAGGGCTCCCATGGTCCATGCAGCGAGTCTCCATGCTGAGGATGGGGTAGGGGTACAGATGGACTGGTGGGTACAGAAAGAGACCCTTGCTTTTTGTTACTTGCCCCCGTGGGTGGAATTTCAAGAGCACTCTCTGTCCCCAAAAGCAAGTGCCGGGTGACTCTGAAGTATTCTCCCAAGTTGATCTGGATTTGTCAGAGATGTGAAGAACCAGGGGGGAGGGAAAATAAGAGTCTAGATCAAATCTCAGCACCCTTAACCCTACCTGCATCTGCAGCCTGGAACTTTAGCTTTGGTGAAGGAGCTCTCCTGACACCCTTGCTGGGTTGGAGAGGGGGGCTCACGGGGTAGAAGGTTGTCCACAGGGAAACCCAGGGCCTATTTGGGACTTTGCTAGCCCTTGGCAGTGGTGGCTTACCCTGGGCAGGAAAGCTTTTGGAACTGACTTGGTTCAAAGCAAAAGAAGCTCACTCCAAACAGTGACTTCTCTCTGAAGCTTGGTTATTACTCTAATTAAACCACCACAAAATCTGCTCCCTTAATAACAACCTGCCCACGAGAGCCCTGGGTGTTTTACGGAGGGCAGGTTGGACGGGGATCTAGGGATGGATGGTACAGACTGTTACTAACTTGTCACTTCTTGGTCCCTGGGCAGCAGAGAATAGCGTTGAGAGGTCGTGGAGGTACTCGGCAATCACAGAGGCCTATTATTGGGGTCCTTCTTTAGACTACAGGGTCAGTAGCCCCCTCTGAATGGGCGCTGGTAGGTAGACTGTCCAGCTGGCCTGAGACTGCCATAGTATTAATGACTGGCACCTATCTGGAGAGCCAACCACTGTGCGGAGGACTTTACGCTGCTCTCATTTCTTCTCACCAGCTGGTTCTGGCCCGTAGATGTGTTTAGTTTGGCCCTCTCAAAGTGTTTTTAGAATTCTGAGTCATTTGCCAACATTTTAAGTTCAGGAGATTTATGTACAAATCCAAATCCAGTTTGCGCCCTCTGGGAGGTGTGCGTTCCCCAAGGTCCGGGGGGCATTTGAACCCACCCTCCTGAATCCTGGTCTTATGCTCTGGAAGACCCTGGCTTGGAGGTGCCCTCTGGGGTAGAAATTAAAAGCAATAGAATTCTGGTACAGGATTGCAGGAGAAAAAGGCAGGGCGGGAGGTGTTTTTATAACCCTTTCCCCACGACTCATAGTCCACTTGTTAGTGCCTGGAGGGCAAGATGTAGGCTAGACTCAGGGTCTGTCTGCCTACGTGTGACCTTTGCCACACATAGACCCTGGAGGACAGTGAGGAGGCAGTGAAGCCTTTCGCCCCTTTCAGTTGCAGACCTGAGCCACTGGGTTGCTTGCATTCGACTGCACAGAGTCAGGGAAATCTAAAGGTCAAGAGGGAGGTCTCCAGAATCAGAATTCTTAGCAGCACTGTGATCTGGGGAAAGTCACTTAACCTAAGCGCTAGTGAGATTCCTATGATCTGGGACCTGTGTCCCTGCTCTGTTCCCTCCACCTCCCCCCACCCTCTGCTGAGGTGAGTGCTTAGCCGCTTCAGCCATCACTGTCCCTGCCTCCCTGACATGGGTGTTGCTGGCACCACCAGCTTTCCCTCAGCAACTCTGCACCCTCTGGAGACCACTTGGTCTGTATCTGTCCCGTGTTATCCTGATCCTATATGGGGGTGGGGGGGACGGGATCTGGGGTGGAGAGACACTCCTAACTGAGATCAGCCCAAGAAAGAGGGTCTTTCTGATCAGCTCAGAGGTCTGGGTAGTCACATCCCCATCTTACAAAGCTAATACTCCCTAGTCTCAATAAAATGAGGGGAACCCCAGGGTTGACTGAACAGACTGGGGGTAGCGAAAGGGTCTCAGGCAGGGGTGGAGATCTCAGATGGGGGTGGAGAGCCTGTTAGCCTGTAGCTGGGCTGGGCGAGGCTTTCTTCCAGCTCATACTGGTTCCCTGTCCGGAACGCTGGCCAAGAGGCACTCCAGGTTGCAGAAACATGGTGATGAGCATTTTAGACCTCGAGCTCCCAGTCTCTTTCATGTTAGGATTCAGCCGCTGACCAGCTGTGAGACCAAGGGCAGGTTAACAAGCCACTGGGTTGGCCCTCCCTCCAAGAGGGGACCAGAGTGGCCTTTGCCACCCTGAACTCTGCAGGATTTTAGGAAACAATGGCTAGAAAGCACTTCTAACTGGCAGGAACTGACTGGGCACAAAGGCAGCTCAGTTGGGGTCGGGGTCCAGACAGACTGTGTGGATTCAAATCCCAGTACAGCCAGTTACTAGCAGGATGAGACTCTGAGCTTCCCCAGTAAGTGTGTAGCTCACAACTCCCTGGATTCTTATAATCTTGTGATAGCTGAGATAGTGTGGAGGGAAGAATGAGCTCAAGGTGGGAGAGCTGCCCTTCTTAGCTTGAAGCTGAAAACTGCAGTCCAGATAAACGTGGTTTGTGCTTTTGTCTGGAGAAGGACATGACTCGGAGCAGTGTGCAACCCAGCCCAGGACCAGTGACCCTGGACCTGGTGTGTCTCAGGGACCCAGCTTGGAGCTTTGCTACCCCTACCCAGTTTCCACTCCTCTCTGGCCACCACGTGAGCTCAGTGCTATCTGGGCCGACCCGTCCCTGAGCTCAGATAGCATGATCCCCGTGGAAAAATCCATGTGGTTTCCTTTCTAAGCTCCCATCCTCAACAGTGGGCAGAGCAACAGTCACAACTTGGAGATGGGAGTTGATTCTCTAGTGGGCCTGAGACTTTAGAGGAAACTGGGGCTAAGGAGGTCGCTGTGCATTGTGGTGTGCTGAGTCCCTGGCCCTCCTTGATGTAGCCTTTGGCCAGAGTCCTTCGCCAGTGGTGGGAGGTGCAGCCTCCCATGGGAGGGTGGAGAGACAGGGTGAGGCTGACTAAGAAGGTTAGGGTAGGGCCATGTTTCGTGTTTCTGCTGTAGCAGACTGCACGTGGGGGGGTAGTTTACCAGGCGGTTTTCTGAGAGCGAGCATTTCCCATGCTACCCGAGAGTATAATGGGGCCTGCCTTTTTTTGCAGATGGAAGAGAAGAGGCGAAAATATTCCATCAGCAGCGACAACTCTGACACCACTGACAGTAAGGACTTCCATTTGGGGCTTCTCCAGGGAAAGCATCTGAGTGATGATCAGGTTGTAGGCCCAGATGGGGGAAAGCCATCCTGGAGTCTCAGTGTTGAGGGGAGCCCAAACCCCCACATCACCAAGGGCTCCAGGGTCTGCCAGGCCACTTCACTTATTGCCCCTCTAGGTCTCAGACCAAGGGTGTTTGCTCTTTGCTCCCAGCTGCTAGGAACACATCCCTCACTAGCCTGGCCCTCCTGTTGAGTCAGGGCCCTATTGGAGGTCTTCAACAACAGATTGGAAGCCTGTTGTTCTTTATTATAATTACCTGATAACTATTTCCCAGCAGTAAGCTCCTTGATAAGAGGTCCTGTTTTGCTTGCTGCCTCATTCTAGCCACGTGTGGTACACAGTAGGTGCCCATTAAATGTTTGCTGAAGAAATTAATGAGATCTGGCCTTCGTGCTCTTGATAATAGGAGCCTTAAAGGTAGACTGGGGTGGGAGAGGGAACCAGCAAGGGGACGATGGGGCTCAAGATGCAGCTTCTGAAACTTGGGGATGAGAAGGGAGGTTTGTGGAAATAGAGCTTCTCTCTGGTTCTGGAAGGCAGCTCTTTGAGATGTCCCAGGAAACTGGGTCGCAAGAGCTGGTGGGAGTGAGGAGTTCTGTGCGCTCTGCTCCGTGCAGGAGAGACATGCTGCCAGGAGGCTCCCACCCAGCAGTGTGCCTGCTGGAGGCCCAGACAGAGGCTGTGCTGCTGTGCGGGAGGTGGGGCCTGGAGCCCTGCAACTCTACACCTCCCTTTGCTCACATAAGTGGAGAGCAGCTGAGATTAGGGAGTGCTCCAAGGAGCTCGACAATCCCCAGAGTTCCACAGCCACCCAGTGACCTGAAGACAGAGGCACTGGAACTCCAGTCAGGGCCCAGCCCCTGTGCTTCCTCCAGGTCTTGCTCACTGTCTGTCCTCTGGGGTCTACTTGCTCAGCTTGGCTCCAGTGTCTAACCTGGCCAGCCCTTCCTCCCTGTGGCAGGAGATCACAGCATCCGGCCGCCTGTGGCTGCAACCACGCTGCCTGTGGCCTGGCTCGGTAGAGCCAAAAAGAACCGCATCCTCTGCTTCTAGGTTTACTGCCGGCAGAGCGCCTTGAGGGCCAGGCTCCCACAAAGGGTGTCTGGGCAGCAGGGCCCTGTTGCTGCAACAGAGGTGGGCCACGCTGAAGCGACTCCCTTCCAACCAGCTCCCCCAGCACACCCACTCCTGACTGCTGCTTCTTTGACCCCTAGGGATGGAGACTACCACCTTGTAGTCCAGCCAAGGGCCTTCCACCCTAATACTAATAGGTTCTGTTCATAGAAAACGCTGTTAGCCAGGGGCCATGCCAATATTTTGCAGGCACGATATTGTTTCATTCTCTCAACTGCCTTTTGAAGACAGTTTGTCTCTTGTCCCCATTTAATAGAAGAGCTGACTGAGGCTCAGAAAGACAAGTCATTTGCCCAGATGATAAGTTAGTGAATGGCTGAGCCAGGGCTGAAGGCTGAGTCTACTTTACAGCAACTCTCTCTCCTCATGGCCCTGTCTGCCTTTGTGTACTCACTGGGCTTGAGCCCAGCTGTGTAACCTGGGACACAGGTGGAGAGTGGCTCCGGAAGGCTTGCTTGAGCCCACCTTCACCAAGGAGCAGGTAAACACTCAGAGAGGGCAAGGGACTTGTCTGGGGTTGCACTACCAGCTAATTCTGAGCCCTGCCTAGCCAGCTGCCTTTTCTTCCACAAGCCCTGTCTGCTTGGTGAGAGAGGAGATGTCACAGCCATTTATCCACAGAGAGGCCTGGAGCAGGGACTGTCTACCAGGTGTGCACAGAGGTTTATGCATCCTGAACACTCAAGCCAGGACTTTTCTTACAGGCCTCCTATCCTTAGAGGTGGGTGGCCTGTGTTCCTGGCCTTGGAGGGACTCTTAATGGACTGGTTTCCCCGCAGGTCACGCGACATCTGCGTCAAGATGCTCCAAACTGCCCAGCAGCACCAAGTCGGGCTGGCCCCGGCAGAACGAAAAGAAGCCCTCCGAGGTGGGTAGTGACAAGTATCTTGGTGAAAAAGAAGGTGGGAATGTGGAGGCTGCAGGAGCAGACCCCTGGGCTTGAGACCCCGCTGCAGATGTTTGGGGAAGAGCGTTTGTGGCCAAGAGCACCGTCCCTGCAAAAGGACATATGGCCGAGTGCAATGAATGGAAGGGCTGGCGTGCCAGTTCTCATAACTTTGTATGTTGTAAAGATATTCCTGTGGGTCTGCCCAGAGAAGTGGCCTTTCAAGGTTCATAAGCTGGGTCTTCACAACGTCTGACCTTCCCACCGGCTGCTGTAAGGGGAAGGGTATGCAATGGGCAAGAGTGGAAGCCTGGAGGATTCTTTCCCTCTTGTCCAAGATGGTGGTGGCTTAGAGCTAGGTGACAGCAGTGGAGTAAGATGAGGAAGATTTGGGACCTTTAGGTGAGGGAGCCAGGTGTGACAGGGTTTGCCATGGTGTGGAGAGGGATGGAGTCCTTGGAGACCTCCAGTTAAGCCATTTGCTTCTTGTGTGCCCACTTCACATGCATCTGCAATTTAAACCATCCTTTCTTTGTCCTGGGACTTTTCTCACCACGGGAGAGGTGTTGGCGGCCTTGGGGCTGTGAAGAAGAGCACTGGGGGCTGGGTAAATAGGACAATGGGATCGAGCTTCCTGCAGCCACTGAAAAATCACTTCCTCGGTCTCTGCTCTCCCTTCACCACTGCACAGGGCGCAGAAGAGGCTGCAGGAGCATTGAGTGCTCAAGAATCTGGTTCTTAAAACCTTGATTTTGTAGTCTGTTTAGTGACCAGGTGACTGGGCTAGACATAATACCTTTTTCATTTTTAAAACTAGCCAACAGTTGCAGGTTTTGTGGGCAGAGCCTTAGGCATGGGCAGGGGGAGGCTATCTTCCTGCTTAACCTCACCCCTCCTCTCTGGCCCTGTAGTCGGGAGCCAGCTCCTCAGGAGTCCTTCCGCAGATTCTTGCATTTGAAAAAGGACTGTGCCTCAGCCTCTGGGGCTGGCCTACCCCACCCCAGGACTCTTCTTTTGGGAGGGCAGAACCTTTGAGGCTGAGGCCTGCGATTTCCCCACCCCCACACTCTGGTATTCTCCCCTGACCCCACAAGCCCAGGAATGCTGATGACTCCAGGAAGGAATATCTCCTGGAATGTTGTGAGGACTGGGACAAAAGCTGGGGGTGGGAGGATGCTCTTAGCGTCCTACCAGACCAGCCCTGCCAGTGAGTGGGTGGGGTGTGCTCTTGTGCTCTGGAAAGTGGGAAAACCAGTGTGCTTGGACTACTGGGACCATACCCATCCCCCCCCATTCCTGCGTCCCCATGCCCCACCCCCACTTGAGTCCTGCGGTGGTGTCCTAGTTGTTAAGTTTGAGTTGGTAAAATGGTAGCCCCCTTTCTGGTCCAGAGAGGCAGTCCTACTCATTTTACAGCTTGGAACCTACCTCTGAGAATCCTACATCTCCCCAGCTTTTAGTGGCTATTCAGGTTGGAGAACTTCTGGGGAGTCCTAGGGACTAGCTCTTTCCCCTGAATCCCTTGCCCCCCTCCCTCCAAACACCTGTGGCAGGAAAGAGAAGATGGAAGGGAGGAGGGGCCACCTGGGCAGAGATGCCAGGGGCTGACCTGCCATCTATACTCAGGATCTGTGGCTGGGAGGAAACAGGTGTCTCTGAAGGCTGAGGGGAGAGAGTGATTTGCATGGGGCAGAAAATTCCCCCGGCTCTTGGGTTTTCCAGCACAGAGCCTTTGAACCTTTCCCCACCTAAAAATAGAGTCAAGCCACTCTACAGGTGGCAGTGGCTACAGCCCACCTGGCCATGCTGGATTTCCAGCCCAAGGGCCTCTGAGGCCTGACAGGAGAGACACCTGCCTCAAGTCCAGGCCCCTGGAGGACTGAAGAGGAAGTCTTCCCCGCCTTGAACTGTGGCCAAAGACAAGCTTTTCCTCCCGCAGTAGGCTGGAGAGCAGCCTGCGAGGTTTCCCTCATCCCCTAAGTGAGGCTGCTGAGCCATAACAGGCATAAATTCCAAATTATCGTGAGGCAGGGAGGAAACCATCAATGAAAGCTTCCGGATTATTTGGCTCATGAGAAAGCAGAGATGAAAGTGAGGATTTGGCAGCAGATAGGTTTGCAAGAAATCTCCTTCATTTTTCTGGGAAGGGCTGGTCAGGAAGACCTGTATAGTCTCCTAGGCCTGGGGACCAAGGGTTTTGGAGATGTGGGAGCCGCACCTGCCCAGGCCCTCCCCACCCCCCAGCAAGAAACCTGTATGGTGGTTGTCTCTTGCTGCCCCAGGTAGGCTGGCTGTCTGCATTCCCAGGGGAAGTGCTTGCTCTTGACATATGTTTCAGGAACCCTCTCCTTGATGACCGTAGAGCCAGGCAACCTATGGTTCACTTCACGCCTCATGTCTTAATGTGAATAATGTTGACATGGAGGATTGGAGGACCAGGAGTATTTAGCAAAGGATTGTCACATAGTGAACCCAACAATGACAAGGATGAAATGGGGTTTAGGTGGCACTGGGAGCCTTCCCATGTGATGTCCTCAGGTTCCACTTTTCACAGTGTTCCCCGAGGATGTTAAGTCAGGCAGCACCCTGGACACCAGAATGTGGTGCTGAGAGTGGGAAAAAGTACTTCGGTTAGGAGTCAGGACCCTGGACAGGGCCGAGGCCTGGACACCCAGCTTCCCTTCTGGCCATTCCCCAGTGAATGGCTGTCCTCAGCTAGAGTGAAAGGGGGAGTGCAGGGCTCAGGACTGGGAACTGATGGGGTGGACCTTGGAATTCCTGGAAAACTAGGTTAGGATTTTTGAAGGAAGTTCACCAAGTCTGACATAGGCCCAAGGATCCCCTGTAGCAGTGGGAGGAAAGGGGGCTGAGCCAAAAGATACAAGCTCCTGCCTTCCTCTGCTCTGCCCGCCTGCTGGTTCCCAACAAAGCTGAGATCTGCGGCTTGGAGCTTAGGGAGCCAGGCAAGGCCTGAAGGGGAGGGGAAAGGACCAGCCTAGTCTGGGAAGGTGGTATTAGTATATAAACCTGGCTAGGGCCTGGGTTTCTTCTGATCTGATTTGTCACACTAAATGGCATAACCATTATTGGTGCTTAACCCTTGGTAGGATATATCTCTGAGAGTCTCATGGGGACCAAAGTCTGGAGATGAGTTTTGTAAATACTGATACCAGAATCCCATTCCCCTTCATCCCCAGGAATTCTTCCTTAAGTGGTCTGGAATGGGGCTGGAGGAGCCTGCACTTACTAAAAGTCCTCCTGCTGGGAGCCAGGGTTAAAGCTGTACCTTCATTTTCTAAGAAAGGAGTTCCTGCTTTGATCTTCCCCAGAAGACCCTGAGGTTGAAGAAGGGAGGGTAGTATTTTTCAAACTTGCTCACTGGTTTAGAGGCAAGAATGTGGATAGGACTCAAGTTCCCACCACCACAGGTGCAGGGGACTGACTCTTCTCCCAAACCCTTGGCCTAGTAGGGGTGGGAAGGGCAGTTCAAGGAGAGACCTGAGGACAGCCATGTGGTTTGGAGGCTACTGTTTGAGGTTGTGTCTTCCTCAGACCTAGGGCAGAGAGGCAGGTGGGAGGACCGGCTGGCCATGATCCCAGGTGAGTGAAGGCAAAGCAGTCCTTCTCAGATGGAAGCCCGCCCCTGGCAGGCTGTCTTTAGGTGGGGAAAGCTGTATTTTTAAGAAGTTAGAATCCCCTGAAGTCAGCGAGGCGCTGAAGCGCTCCTGATACTGCTCCTGATACTGCTCACTCTGAGCAAGCACACTGCAGCACCTGCAGAGCCTGTGCGCCTGCCTGGGGCCCAGAAAACGTGAGCCGTGTCCCTGGGGAGCTTGTCTCACTGTTAGCAGGATGCAGGTGCTACACAGGAAAGGGCCCGTTGTAGGAACTGCTCCGAGCTTTGCCACTTGTGAACTCTGTGACCTTGGCAAGAGACTGTTCCTCTTTGAACTGCAGGCCTTGTGTGGAGACCTGACCCACACCCTAGTAGACACAACTGTTCTCTCCTCGGGCCTTTTGAGCCTGGGTGGCAGGGAAGTTCCTAGGGGTGAAGCCATCCTAGGATGGAAGCCTGAAGAGTCCCACTATAGTGGAGTAAGGGGGGAGCTGGGACCCAACTGTTTGCTTTTTTGTTTTAATTTTTTTCTTATATTGTAGTCCTGGATCAAATTGTTAACTCCTTTGTGGGTCCTGGTGACTAAGTCATGTGCTTCTAGATGAGGGAGTAGGATCTATGCATTTGGGGATTGGACCTGGGTAAAGAGATTAATCTCTGTCCACTGGGGTGTTCCCCACACCCTGTGTCCCCTGAAAGTCCCTATACTAGGATGCCTTCCCCTAGAAAAGGCAGCGAGAGATTATCAGTTTGACCCATTACTTTTTAAAATGGAAATCTCCTTCCCTGGGTGAAGGTGGTGTGGTCAGATTGTGTAGGTTCAGAATCATGGGTAAATAAGAGGCCTTCCTGGAGGAACAGTGGTGGTATCCAGATTAAAATAACATACATTATATAAAAACTGTGATAGCATATGTTGGGGTGAAATGCAAAATGCCCACAAACTTGAGAGAAAAAACGGGAGAATGCCAAAAAAAGGTTTTGTGCTTGCCTCTGTGGGTTCGAGCCATGTTTCTAGCCAACAAGGCCCCTGCTCCCCATTGAGGCAGGCAGGTGGTGAGGGGGAGCCCTTCCTCTGGGCTGGATGCCTGCTTTCTGGAGACTCACATCGCCTTCCTCTGGGGTAGGGGGCAGAATCCACTTCTAGTGTAGTCGGAACATTGCTGCTCCTGCCAGCTGGAAAGGCCTCTGGGACTTGTCTTGCAAAAGAAATATGTGTAATAAATTCTCTTTAAGAGCAGGAAGTGCTGTTATCCTTGTGAAAGTCTGCAATCGAGATGTTGGGAGGATGAGAGCGTGTGTGTTTTAAGTGTCTAACCAACTTAGCCCAGAGGTAGCTTGAACAGGGATGGGCAGAGGTGCCTAC